ATGATGTGGGGTACAGGTTGGTGGCTATTTATACCCCAGTAAGAGAGGATGGCATTGAAGGGCAACCTGTTTCTGCATCAACAGAGCCAATTGGAGTTGGTAATTCTGAGGCTCTCCTCCTACTCTTTTTTCACTTAACAACTATTACTAGTCTTAATATTGTAGACCATGATGTTCAAAATGACATCAAATGAACAACTTTTCATTAATGTCGCATAGCATTCAGACAAATAAAAACCTAAACTTTGTTTGAGCATTGTGCAGTGCAGCTCATGGCTTTACAAAAATGTTTTGAAAGCACAATTCTATGTTTTCTTGGGTAACATACTTTGTACTCTAAAAATGCCAAATTAAAGGTTTGTTATTGTGAATTTTCTTTTCTGTTTAAGTTAACATGCTGAATTGTATCCATCTCTTTATTCATGGAAGTTTTCATCACATTCTTGTTGGGTAAACTCACATCAGGTGGTTTGATTGAGCTCTGCGTAAAGATTATATTTTGGTTGGGTTTTAGCTGGTATTAGATAATTTTTCATACTTCCATTCTTAGTTATTAGACATGAATGATTTAGAAGTATACATTGTCTTACAAGAAAGGCCAACTTCAGCATGGTGCAGGTGCTTTGTACTGTTGTACATATTGTCCTCTAACTTTTAACATATTCTTTGTGTCTATACTGTTGTTTATATGGGCAATGTCTAATTTGCAGAGCCTGATGTTTTTAAAGAAGTGAAACAGAAGCTTGATCTTGGTTCTGTAAAGTTTGAGGTGAGATTATATTCCTTGTTTTTTGCTTTCTTTTAATCATAATGCTTTTGCTTTTTTTTGGACAAAAAATGAATAGAAACCAAAAAACAAAAAAAAAAAAGAAAACAAAAGGTAAATAGTAAAAAGCAAATAACAAAAGGATTTTTTAAGCGGAGCATCTTTTACTTTTGTTACTATGAATATATAGGTAAACAGTCTGCCCTCGTTCAACATCAAAAGTCTCAAGACCAGTTTGGGAAATTCCTTAGAATTTTGTAAAGCTCCTAAGAGATGCTTTAAAATTTTTTATAAATCGATGTTATGTCAATTTCAGAAAAATTGTTAAGTACTACAACCAAATAAAGGGGCCAAAATAGGGAATTAATTAGAAATTTACCAGAAGACTTATCCTAGGGAAAAATAATTTTAGACAATCTGACTTGACAGATGGACTGGCAAAGTTCATTTATACTTTTCAATTTCCTCGACTTACTGCTTAAATCTCTGAAACAGGTATTATGTGACAAGGACCGCAATCCAAAAAAGGTTCGTATTTCATTTTCTGTCTTGTCATTCTTAGATGTGCTTATTCTATTTCAAAAAGAGAAAAAAATGATCTATTTTATCATTATTATATTGCAGGTTCCAGGAGAAGGATGTCTTGAGAGAAGAGTCCTAGAAATTAATAGAAAACGAGTTAAGGTTGTGAAGCCAGGATCGAAGACTTCATTTCCTACTACTGAAATACGTGGAAGCTATGCTCCTCCTTTTCATGTAAGCTTGTTTCTTGTTAGAGCTAATTTTATGTCTCTGGTGGATAAGGCAATCCACGGCTGCTCTCCTTTAGTTGGTCCATTAAATTATAGGATCATATGAATTGATAAACTCTATTCAAGAACCTTCAAAATTTCTAGAAGTAGAATCTTTTTTTAATATAACTTAAAAATAATAATAATAAAAAATTTAGTGATGAATTATTGCTCTTGAAGACTCAATAATTGATGGCCTAAACAAGTAATTAGGAGTAGGCCTATTTTGGTACCTGAATCACCAAATGAAGCATTTTAGGAGAAGATTTCTAGGCTGTTAAAGTAGGGATGCTGCTATTTTAGGCCATTCGATTTGTTTTCAGTGTAGAAGCTTTGAGCATTGTATGCCATTCATTTATGAATTCCTTATTTTTCATAACAACTAAAGGTTCCAGGTCGGTTATGACAGGTGGAGCTTTTCCGAAATGACCAGCGTCGTCTTAGGATCGTGGTGGACAGCGAGAATGAAGTAGACCTCATGGTGCATTCACGACACCTCCGGGATGTTATTGTTCTTGTCATCCGTGGTCTTGCTCAGCGGTTTAATAGTACATCTCTCAATTCTCTACTCAAGATAGAGACATAATTTGGTCAGAAAATGTAAACGCATCAAAAAGCATTCAACCGTAGGGTTTTTGGGTCTGTGTGCTTTCTCTCACCAAAGGTGTTTTTTGTTTTCTCCTTTCGTCCCCATTTGTGCCATATTTCATTGCCATCTTAATATATTTTTTGCATGCAGTGTTCAGTGTTCAATGCATAGGGGGAGGTGGTGTTTCACTTCGTGTAACTCATTATTTGAATGATAGTATTCTTCTCTATTGGCAAGATTTTTAGTTCGTCTTATTTTGATAATTTTTGCCTCGTCGGTAAGCTTTTGGTGCAGACGAAAAGTAGTTGACTGGAAGGCCTATTCGAGGAAGGATCAAAGTTTTAACATTTTAAAGAGACCACGAGTAGCCAAAAACTCCTTTCGGTTCTAAACCCTTTCCAACATGAATGCTTGAAAAACGCTTTGGATATTGTCCAAAGCAATTAGCCATCTAACCTTGACTTAACCCAAAAGAGGGGAGAGAGATAGAGGGAGAGGCGGAGAGCAATGGCATATCCATTCATCCTCATGCTCCAGCGTCGAGGTTTGTCTGCTGAGAAGCCTCGGCTTGCATTCCCGTTTCCATAGCTGCATCACACGAAGCATTCAATGCTACGAAAATATGTTAGAGCGGGGGGGCTAATGTCCAGATTCCCAATCTCATGTACCATGCCCCATCAATTGAGCCCATTATTATTACGTTAATAACAGCGGAAGCTGATGGAATCCAATGAACCAGCGCACCCGCACAGCTTAGGTTTATCCTGAGCGTTGCCAAGAACCAAATCGGAGTAGTCACTGCATAGACAATCAATATCCATTCTTTCCTAGGGCCCAATATGCAGCAGTAGCAACAGAGGATCCTTCAAGCTTGCTCCAGTCTGAGCTCGTTTGTCTCGTCCCGGACATATAGTAAAGTCTTATTATCAGGGCCAAGGAGCGAGAAGATGAATAATGTAGGTAAGGAAAGAAGGATTGCGAGCACATCAAGGCTCGTGAAGAGTCCCACAGTTTGCTGCATTATTTCATCGAGCAATGGCATATCCGTTATATCTTGTTAGAATACAGAATTAAGAAATGGTTTCAAAGTGTAGCACTTGCACTATTCTTATAGTTTAATAAACTCTTATTTATAGTGTGTAAAAAATTCATCGATATATAAATTTTCAAGATACAATAAAATTAAGTGATTGATTATGTTTTGTTCTGACAAAATTAATTCATTGAACACTCATCGAATTATAATAAGATTATCAAACTTTTATTAGATTTTTCTATAGTAAAAGGATCTAGAAAAAATTTGATGATCATTGAGAAAAGGAGAGGAGGTTTTTTGTGTTCTTTTGAATCAAAATATAGTTTTTATATAGGCATATATGAAAGTTCCAACAAACATTATCGTGTCTGACTATTAATTTTTTTTTTTATCAAATATGCCTTTCAACTGTTTTTTTTTTAATTATTTCAAAATGGGACTGAGTCCCATATTTATTCTATTTGAAAATGTCCAACATGTCTACGTTGAAGCTAGTAAACCATCTTGCTAAGAATAAAAAAACACATTAATAAATAGTAAAGTTATTAAAAAATAAATAAAATATATAAAAAATAACAATATATTATTTATTTTCTGTCAAATAAAAATTTACAAAATTGCAATAATGCTATAGAACCAAGTAAATTGAGATTAAAATATTAAAATGTGATGAATAAAAATTATAGACCCATACAATTTCTGTCCTAATAATAATATTTGTCCAAAACAATAGTTGTAGTAATCCTAGATCCTTGGGTACCTAGCTTCGTAAACTAAACAAATGAGAGCACTAAAAGCTTTAACATTTCTAATAATTCCTCGTAAATCCCTATTTTCAACGGCTTGTTAAGGTCCAATCTCGAAGTTCGTTGCAGGAAGATGAATAATGGCAGCTAAGGATAGAAGTTTTGCGAGCACAGGGCTTGTGATGAGTAACAACAGGCGTTGAGCCCAATGATTAAGAGCCCACAGTCTAAGAAAGTGAGGAATTTCAAATCTAACAACTAAAAACCTCTTCTTTACATCTAAACATTAAATGGATAAGATAAATAAAAAAATGAGATTGATTTCGAGGGGAGTAGAGGGAGAATTTTGAGTTACAATAGGATATTAATATATAATTAATTAGAGTTAAACTATAAACAAAATTTAAATTAATTATAAGAGAGTTGAAGGTAGAATTCATAAATTTTTGTCCAATCTCTATCAATATGTAATTCATCAATCTTTTGTTGACATAAACTTAACATTGACTTGTTGATAGGTTGTTTGTAGAGAAGAGGGAGGTGTGAAGAAAACTTAAGAGTTGAATCTAGAACTCTAAGTACCACGCAGTTGATTAGGGTTGATTTCCCTGCACAAATACACCATTTCATCTCCTAGTTTTTGATGTGGGCCTCGTGGCATGGCAAGGATTTTGTACAGTAAAATGAATACCATCCTATTTTCAGTTTCCTTTATTTCTTTGATTTTGAAAACGTTTGATTATATATTGAAAAAAAAAAACAAAGAGTAAAGAAATAAGAAATATGAGTACTGGCGTAAGTATAGGTAATTTGCACGGGACTAATTGGATTATAAATTGAAAAAAACTATATATATATATATATTACCCTTTCTTCAATTTGTTTAATTATTATTCTTCTTGGTTTCTTTACTTTTTTTTTTTTTGAATTTGCGATTTGTATTTTTTTTTATCTTTGTATTCTCTATTTCTGTCTTTTTCCTTGTCTTTAATTGTATAGACTAGTACCGTACGTGTCATCAACAAAAATTATGAACATTAAAAACTTGTCGGGAACAACAGTTGCATTAATCCTAAAGCTGTCCAACCTCAAGGTTTGTTGCGGTGGCTCTTGTTTCCTCAAACTCCTTGGCTGCATCATACGAAGCGTGGAGTGCAATGAAAATGTAATAGACGAGCAAGACCAACGTCCATACCCCAAATCTCACGAAAGAAGCCCCGTCGATTGAGGCCATGATGAACACATTAATGGCAACAGAAGCTGATGGCAACCATGGAACCAACGGCACCCCCCACAGCTTGGGTTTCTTCGCTTCCTTCACCAGCAATTTTAGCCCAAGCGTTGCCAAGAACCAAACTGGGACAGTCACTACATAGCCGATCCACCCATTCTTGCCTACGGCCCAGTACACTGCATTAGCAACCGAGGATGCCAAGATCAGGACCAGGAACCCGACGAGCTTGTTTCTGTCAGAGCTTGTCGTCTCACCTTTGGCATAGTAACGTCTAACGAGGAGAGCCAATGCAACCATTGAGAAGATAATCAATGTGGCTAAGGAAAGGAGGTTTGCCAACACTTCAAGGCTGGTGAAGAATGCCACAATGGAATTCAAGATGGTCATCATGATCGTAGCGTTAACCGGTGTTCCCGTCCTCTCATTGATGTGTGCAAGGAACGGTGGTGCCATGTGGGTACGACCGATGTGGGTGAAATAGCGAGATTGGCCAACCAAGTTGGCTAACAAAACCGTGGTCATGCCTTTCAATGCACCAAACGCAACAATGTAGTTGGCCCATTTCAAGCCTACGGCTTTGAACGCCAGTGTAAATGGTGCATTGACATCGATCTGGGAGTATGGCTGCATCAAGCACAGTGTGGCTGCGAGAAGGCAGTTCGCCGTTATGATAACCAACATGGAGCAGATTAGGCCGATGGGTATATCTCGACCAGGGTTTTTGATCTCTTCTCCAAGGGTTGCCACTCCATCGAACCCCACGTAAGCAAAGAAGAGAATCGAGGAAGCTTTCAAAATGCCAGGGATCCCATTTGGGGCGAAGTCGGAGTAATTGTTGGGGTCAGCCTTGGTTAAACCAACGACGAGGATGAAAAGGATGACTACCAGCTGGACAATGGTGGCGGCAGAGTTAAACCTGGCTGACCCTGTCATGCTTATACCTGCGGCAATGCATATGACTACTGAAATAGCAACTGCGATGGGGTCTAAATGGCTGTAATCTTCAGAAAAGGATGAAACATGAAAGCGGAAACTGTTGGGATCATGGTTGAACAGAGTAGCGAGATAAGAAGTCCAGGACCTTGCCACACTAGCACCAGCTACCACATACTCAAAGAGAATGTTTCCAGCTGCAACGTAAGCAATGAAATCACCAAGCTCCACTCTGAGATACGTGAAAGAGCTGCCGGCAACAGGCAATTCGATGGCGAATTCAGTGTAGCACAGAACTGAAAGCAATGCAGTTATACCTGAAATAAAATAAGAAACCACGACAGCAGGTCCGGAGTAGTTCCTGGCAGCTTCACCGGTGAGGACATATATCCCAGTACCCATCACAGCTCCTATGCCGAACCAAATGAGATCCCACCAGGTCAGGGTTTTCTTCATTTCATGCTGGCTACGAGCACGCATTTCATGCAGCTCTACGTGGTCCATGGAACGTGCCAGCAGACGGTCTCTGAGCCTAGATTTTGTGTTGGACAATGCATTGACATAGCTTGTCCAACTCTGAAATGACTCTTCTGGTAAGAAATCTTGCTTGCTGCAACCACATCCCCTCTTCTTAAGATCATTACCATTGCCATCACCAACATTAGTTTCCATCGCCATTTTTTACTAAGAAATAGTAAAATGAATCATGTATCAGCATTGGGGAATTCGAACGACTAAAGGGTTACGAAATTGTCAGTTTCATTTTTCCGAAATGGTTTTGTTTGTACAAGGCCCATAGGCTGCCTCAGAGGCTTGAGGGACAAATTGGGATTGGTCTTGGTTCGGCTCTACCTAGAAGCCCAAATCCAAGGCTAAGGCTGGGTTCAATGCAAAGGAGACTAACATTAATAATTCAAAACTTAAATCATATAACCAAGAAAGTTAAGGAAAATGGGAAGGCAGAAAGCAGATCCTATGCACTTAACCTGCTCATTTTTTTCCTTACTTGACAAATCTGTTCTACTCATCCGAACAGATGCTTGTAGTTTTTCTTCTTATATTCCTTAATTTGTTGCTTTCTAATAGCAAAGATTACACCCCATACTGCATACCAGCAAATGGCATGATTTTTTGTGTGTACCTGGGACTGAGACAGCAAGAGAAAAGAGGAAGAAATCATACCTTGAAAAAGCTTGAAGCTGAGCAAAGCTGGAGGGCAGAAACAGATGGAGAAACAGCTCTCTTTGAACTCTGAAGGCTGATAATTATGAAACAATGGCCAATGGGATTACAGATTCCTGGTCAAGGCTAAATAGACGCGAGAAAATTGAGAATATTTCCCATTCTTCCTTGATCCTATCTATCTGTTGATATCTAGTTTACTGTTTAGGAGGAACTGTCTTCATCTCATGCAAACCACTAGACATAAAGCCCAAATATTTGAAAGAGGTCATTTACACTTTTGCGATATATATATATATATACATACATATAATTCATTAAGACAGTTTTAATATTTAGCAAAGTTAATTAAAGAAAGTATTATAGCTAGCTAGCTTAACCATGATCCTCTTTCACATTGAAATAAAAGAAGAATGCTGGGAATTAGATGATTGGCACGAAAACAAATTGAGGTGACCCTTGGACATCAAATTCAGACTAGCTTTTAATTAAGGTGAAGAAAGAGAAGAACATGTCACTTTCCATGCTTTGGTTTGAAACGTGGTGATAGCATGCAGAAAGGATCATTAATTGGACAACCCGTAAACCAAAGCAAGGCATGACAACTTTAATTGCCTCCTGTTTCATGCATTAATCAATAAGGAAGCAGGATTTTTTATTTTATTTTATTAATTGAAATAAAGATCAAGTCTTTGTCTGACTGTGGTTTGATTAAATTGGTAGCAGAATCTGGTCAAAATAACATGCAACATTAATGGTAGGTCATGACCATCTGTTCTCTACTCAGACATGGTGAAAATTTGAGTTCAGTAACAACCGAGTTGTCTGCAGAATTTCATGGTGAAAACCAGTTGTAACTTGTAGGAAGACTAAGACTGGAAACTTACTTCTTTGAGAAACTTCCATGGGCAAATTCATAAAGTGGGTAGAGTATATGACTCTGAGAAAATAATTTTTCTTTTTAAAGATTAAAGCCAACCAACTTTCCCTAAGCTTAATTTTTTCACTTGCATGTGCATCGTTTACCTTTCGTTTTAGCTTGGTCTGCCATATCTGGAAAGCTATGAATTCTTGCAGACATTCCAGCAGACCTCCCTCCCATGGATAATCAATGATCACAACCCTACCTGCTGCCGCAGATTATGTGAAAGTTGGGGTCTCAAATTTTCAATGTTGTATACTGTATTCCCCTTGGAAAAACTGTAGCAGATTTTTCTGCTTCTTTGGATAGTCAAATAAAAGAAAATTTTCATTTACCAATAGATTTCTTGCAATCATACAATAGAATATGTACTGAATCAAATTTGAATATACTTGTTGAGAAAGAATAGGACAATAATCTAACGTTATATTTATAAAGAAAATATCATCGTTTGAATTTTGTTTAATTCATTAATATTGTAGATATTAAATAGAAACTCTTAAATAATTAAAAACACGGGACAAATGATTACGGGTTGATTAGGGAAGAAATTTGTAGCAGCTCAATTTCCGCATGGGAGAGGAGATTAGGGGAACATTAATCACTAAATCTCATGCTCATACCAAGTGTGGAAAGCATGATTAAAACGTTCAAAGTTTAAACTCTTTTTCATGTTATTATTATTTTAATTTTTCACAGAAAAGATATTCACACTGAATTACCAAAGGAATCTGCGACAACATGGACAGAAAATCTTTGTACTTTCCTATAAACAAACACTAATTTCTCCTTCGAGAGAGAAGTTCCGGAAAGTAAGACAATAAGAATAAAAGACCAACTACACACACATTGATCGCAATTCACATATATTAAAGAGAACATACGGCTAAACTAACTAGAATTTGTAACTTGTAAGCCAGACTTGGCCTCCGAAGAGGCGACGCCTTCTTCGACTTTCTTCCATCCATCTGCAACCTTGTTTTCTCCTGATTCCTTTGCGGTATCATAGGATGCATGTAATCCCAAGAAGAAATAGTACAATAGCAGGAAACAAGTCCAAATACCGAACCTGATGAAGGATGCTCCATCTATTGATCCCAGTAGGAAAATGTTGATAGCAATGGAAGCCGATGGTAGCCATGGTACCAATGGTACACCCCATAGTTTTGGATTCCTAGCATGCGGGACGAAAATCTGAATTGCCATGGTGGCAAAGAACCAGATTGGTATAGTAATCACGTATGCAATCCAATCGTGGTCGTCACTGAGACCCCAGTACAGAGCTGTTGCAATTGAAGATCCAAGGATGAGGGCGATACATGCAATGAATTTGTTACGGTCTGCTGTAGTTGTCTCACCACTGACATAGTAACGGCGAACAAGAAGAGCAAGAGCAACAAGCATGAAGATGAACAATGTTGATATTGATAGAAGATCTGCGAGAATGCCAAGATCTGTAAAGAAGGCGATGATTGCTGTTGCAGTAAGCATGACAATGGTAGCATTGATGGGTGTCCCGGTCTTTGGATGGACTTGTGCGAGCCATGGTGGCATCATGTGTGTTCGTGCAATATGTGTGAGATACCGTGCTTGACCAACGGCACTGACGAGCAAAACAGTTGTCATGCCTTTCAACGCACCAGCAGCAACTATGTACTTAGCCCATGACCACCCGACAGCTTCAAATGCTACTGAAAATGGGGCGTCTTTATTAATCTGTGAGAATGGCTGCATTAGGCACAATGCCACAGAAAGCAAACAATATGCAGCCGTGGTTATAACCATCGAGCCAACAAGACCAATAGGGATATCACGACCAGGGTTTTTGGTTTCTTCAGCCATTGTTGAAACAGCATCGAAACCAACATATGCAAAGAAAAGCACAGCCGAAGACTTGAAAATACCACGAACACCGAAGGGAGTAAAATTGCTGTAGTTCTTGGGGTCAGCTTTCGTGAAGCCAGCAATGATTATGAAGAGAATGACGATGACATGGATGACAGAAGCAATGTAATTGAAGCGCGATGAGCCCTTCGTGCTAAGGACAGCGAGGACACAGATGACAGAGACAACAACAACAGCAATAGGATCAAGTTGCCCATAGTCCGCTGGCATGCTGTGGACTATGATGCGGAAATCCTCAGGTTGGTGATTGCAGAGGGTGGCAAAGTAGGAAGTCCATGACCGGGCCACCGCAGCACCTCCAATAACATACTCTAGGAGAATGTTACCAGCTGCAATGAAGGCCATGAAGTCACCTAACTCCACTCTAAGGTAGGCAAACGAGCCACCTGATAGCAAAATGGTAAAGCAATTATTTTATAATCAGGTCAAAAACTGCAGGGAAAAAGCAATCAGGTTTCAAAGTCAGCAAGCTCCAAGTAGCCATGTAAATCCATCCCATCCACCTAATCTTCATTAAATTGTTAAATATTCATTACAAGATCCCTTGTAAACACAAAAAGAAAAGAAAAGTGACCAATTACTTTAGAACTTAACACGTTTGACACGATCTCTGCTAATTTAAACACTTAGAAACAAGTACGTCTCTCGGGGTCCCAAACTTATTTCTTTCCTACCAAACTCAGAAGTCAACTTTGATATTCTAGTTAAAGTAAATGGGGCCAGAATTCCGTGGAATATTCAACAAGATTCTTTGAAACTTTGATTTCCTTTTTACCTGTTCAGTAAAGATTCTTCAAAGCCTATATACAGATAAAATCAAAACTGAATGGATATGGATTACCTAGTAAATTTAGTATAGTAGGAATTTGTTTTACCTGCAACAGGAATTTCAACGGCGAACTCAGTGTAACAAAACACGGAAAGCATGGCGGAGACACCCGAGATCACGAAGGATAACACGACGGCGGGGCCTGCGACTTCCTTCGCTTGGAGTCCGGTGAGAACGAAAATGCCGGCGCCGATGACGGCACCTATACCGAACCAAATGAGGTCCCACCATGAGAGGGTCTTCTTCATCTCATGCTGGCTCCGAGCCTTGATCTCGTGGAGCTCCGTCGAGTCGAGCGATCGGGTGAGCACCCGGTCCATGAACCGGGTCGGAGTTTCCTTGAGGGCTTGAACATAATTGCCCCAGCTCTTGAACGACTCCTCAGGGAGAAAATCGTCTTTTGTGCATGAACATCCTCTTCTCCTGATCCCTTCTTCTCCGACTGCACCGTTCACCCCCATCCTATTTTCCACCACCAAAAATAAAAACCAATGCTTTTATTTAATTTTCTCACAAACCAAACATACAAAAGAGAGAGTGAAACTCGAATGTTAAATAAAGAGCAAAGCTAGAGCCGCAATACGGGAAAAGATACGAAGACAAAAAGTGTTACGATGCAAACAAGGATTCGTAAACGAATACCTATCCATCCCCTCATTACCAAAAATTTTAAAAAATTGCCATTACGTAATCACGATAAGAATTTCAACAAATAAACAATTGATTAAACTAATCACCATAACTATCAATAAACAAGAAGCACAGATTCCACGTTAACACAAACAACACGATACAGCACCTGGTTAAAACTAGAATCCGTTGACCGCCGGTGGTTGTCTG